ATGTCAGTACAAAATACACCTCGTAGGGATGGATATGACTGTATTTAAAACCATCCATGCCCCCATAAAGTTCTTCCATCCATGCAGGATCTTTCCCAAAGAGATTAATGAAGTCAGTTCTCCTCTAATACGCACACGGGGTCCCCAAAGGTCAGTCCCATGACCTGGGGTCACCATGAGGCCGTTTAAAACATTTTAGAGCAAAGGCATAGGAGGAAGATTGCCAACTGTGCTTTCTTAAGAAGGACCACTTTTTATTCTAAGATTATGCCCTTCCCAATAACTGGTATACAAATTCTATTTCCTTTTAAAATGAAGATAATTATTTTGTAGCTGTCAAGGCTTTTTTAGTGTAATGTCTTTCATTTGGCAAAATAAAAAATTAACGACTCTATGTTGAACCCAATTTTCTTTGTGATCCCATAAAATTCAAAAATTTAAAAATTATTATCTTATATTTTCAGGTAGCCCAACTTTATAAATCAACATATTCAGATAAGAACTGAGGAACACTGCTCTGCTTATGTTGCTGCTTAAATGTAGTTGGAGGAGAGAGCCATAGAGTACAACCTAACTCAGGAGCCTAGTTCTGGCTTCTGGTATAAGGAATCAAGTAAATCATAGCTTCTCAAGCATTCTTACTAAAGCAAAGTTTGATCATCAGGAAGGCTCCAGTGGCCTATGATTTGTTTTTTACCTTGTTTTGTTACCTAAGACAAGTTGAGGATTCTTCCCACACCCTGGACTTCTTTCATTTAATTTCTGCTCCACATCAGCTACCTATAGGCAATGAACCTCATTTTCACTGGTATGATGGAACTATTCTTTCCTTTGATCCTACAGCAAGGCAAGGGAAACCCAGTAGCTGAGAAGTGATGACACCTCCCAAGGCTTGGTCAACAAAAGAGGACTTTAAAGTGAACCTCACATCCCAGAAGGAAAATTTCTAATAGACTTCTTATAGAATATGGAGCCAAGGTTCTTCTTGTAGAGACCATGATTCTCTCATGTTCAAATGTACTGCATGGTGAGATAGCTGATTACTTTTAGAAACTTAGGAATGATCAAAGGAAAAATTAAAAAATTAAAAATTAAAAAGATGAAAACAAAGCAATTCTCAAACCGGGAGCATAACCCATGGGGACTTCAAAATCACAAGAGGAGCCTGCCAATGACATCACACCTGTCTTTACTCAGGCATTCCTTTCTAGTAGTCTTCTTCCCTAACTCCATTCTGTAAATTCAAATCCTTCCAGTTCTCCAAGGCTCAGTTAGAAACCATTCTTATAATATGCCTTCCTGACCCAGGTGAGAAATTCTCTCTCCCTCCTAAGTGCAACCACAGCCCTGTAACTATATCTCTCTTCCAAGAGTAATGCCTATCATTTCAAGGCACTTGAAATACACGTGGTCCAACTTCAGGGTTGTGGTTTGTTCATTTATTCAACAAGCTCAATTTTGGGGCTTATTCTACAAGGGGATGAAGAGATAAGCCTTGTTTCTGATTGCAAGGATCGCAAACTCTAGTAGAGAGACTTTCACAATTTATAAGAGAAAGAAACAGAGTTTTCAAGATTAAATGTTGCTAAACTTTACATGGTGGAGCCAGGATCAGAATGTTTTCTGACTCTCCAGTCCTTGGTTGGCTCTCTGCTTTTACAGGAAGGGGTAACTGAGGCAGTGTGAGGTTGACTTAAACCCCACGTAGGATATTTGCAGAGAAGAGCTAGGATTTATGAGAGCTAAATCCCACATCTGTGTTGTAGCCATTAGACAAGCCTCCCTCCTCCAACAGCAATGACATTACTTTCCTTCCCTTTACACCAAAAAGGTAAAAAGTTCAAAGTCTAGTCCAGCTGGAGCCCCCGGAATGCTACAGCCCTCCTCATCGTGCTCCCCTGGGTCCGGCCTGTGCGTTTGCATGGCAGATCCTTCCAAAGCAGAATCATACAAGCTCTCGCCGATAGACCTTTGCTCATTTGCCTGGAACTCAAATTACTAATTGTCTTTGATAACGTTATGTGGTGAGAAAATGAATTTTGAAAAAGGTATGCTCTGTTAGCAAATAGCAAAACAAGAGGTGCCCAATTCACAGATAATAATCTATTTTCGCACTGTATCAGAAAACTCTTTACCTGACCATAGATTTTTAAATGTAGACAGACTGTTTTTCCACTCTGTGTTTTCTTGTGTCTTGCTCACCATTGCATCTCCCACACTTGATTGGCATATAGCAGCGACCCAATAAACATCTGTTGGATGTTTCTGTGCATATGTGTGCATGAATAAAAGGTTGCTGGGTAACCTGCCACTCTTGCAATACTTACTCCTCATGGGAAAACCCACCTGATTTCCAGAGCGCTCCCCCAGGTTTAGGAGGGCAGGGCTTCTTTGTGCTCCCAGTATTCCAATGACAATGCACCTGGATGCTGGATACCTACGAAAACCTAAATATGCCATCTCACGCTGATGAGCACATTTGTAGTGAACTGCTTCCTTTAAGAGACATTTAGGCAACTGAGCCAATTGTAGCAGCCACACACAGGCTGACCTTGGGACACCTGACACTGGGAAGTTTGCAGAAATCTAATGCTTCAAGGCATCATCAGGAAATCAGCAATGGCTCTGCAAAGCCACCAAGAATATTCTGCCCTGGTGCTGTGACAGGGAATTGTGACAAGGAAGAAGGGGCACCGAGTCATCTGCTATATGCCAAGCATGCCACTTGGTGTTTTACATACATCATCTCATTAGAAATGGGTGTTGTTATCTCCATATTAGAAATGAGAAAACTGAGGCTTTGAAAGTTCAGGTAGCTTGCCCAAGGTCTCTCAGCACAAAAGGAGCAGAGCTAAAAGGAAAACTCAAGTTTGTTTGAAGCCAAACCCCAAGTTCTCTCCATCCTGTTTGCTGAAAGGGCCACTAGATTCCATACACAATTCTGATCTCGTTTTTGGAGAGCAGCACTTTACTGTAGTTGAGCAAGTGATGCTCCTGTTCCAACGACACCCGGTTGGTCGGCTGAGTGTTTAGTCCAATAGGTCCCAGGGAAGACACCAGAAGTCACGGCGTGGCACTCCCTTCAATGTACACGTTTGCTCCATCACTTTCCCTCTTCCTTAATCTCTTTATTCTTCCTCTGACTGCCTATCCCTTTCTGCCTGTAGCTTGGGCTTGCAATGACAGCTCTGTGACCCTCAAAAATAAAACATGTGCCAAGCCCTGGCACTAACTAGCTTAATTTAATTAGGTCTTGGGATGGCCAAGTTCATTGCTGACATCATTTCTCAGAATCCGGCAGGCCTAGCTTTATTGGCTATGATGCCTCAGGACACAGTGTGAGGGTCCAGAACAGAAACTGACCTTGCCCCTAAGGGCCTAGGGGCAGGCCCTCCACAGGTGCCTGAAGTGCTCTCTGTAAAGCTAAGTGTACTATCTGCATACAGAGCCGTAGAGATGTGATAAAGCAGGAAGTTTTAATGGAGGGGAAAAGTATCCTAATGATGCGAACAGAGGACATTGGAGGAATATTGGATAGTGGACAGTGCTTGGAGACCAACCAGAAGTCAGGTTCAGGCGTGTCTGTCATCAGGTAACAGGAACCCAGCCATTGGACTGATGGTCAAAGCTAACATCTCAGATCCTAGAGGGGATGAGAGAAACAAGGCAGAAGCCCAGGCTGGCAGCTGGGCAAGTTAACAAAACCTGGACTGAGCTGAGAGGTTCGGATATCAGAACTAGAACTTAGGAAGAAGACCGCATCTAAGGGTAGAGGCTGTTAGGTTTTTCTCTCACATCAGTCAATTCTCCAATCCTCTAACACCAACTGGGCATCCTACAATTCAATTCAACTCTGACACTACCTGGAGTCAGCATCAGACTCCACAAGGTACGGGCCCACTCCCTCAAGACTGCCCTCACTCCAGAACCAGCTGCAAGTAACAGGTCTGCAAGTTACCCTCACTTCTGTCTGACATGGCTACAAAGTCAAGGGTTCCCATAATCCTCTCCCCATCAGTGCTGATGATTTTCTAGAATGACTCACAGACCTGGGGAAAATGATGCACTTACAATTACAGTTGTAGACAGAGGAGGAGGAAGAGGAGGAGGAGAAACAACAGGCCAAAATGAAGTCAATTTTGCTAAGCAACATCACCAAACCAAAAGTTAATAACTAAACCAATTTCAGTTTCAGCCTCCTCTCAGGAGTTGAATTTTACCCCAATTTGTTTGGAATTTCCTAATCAATATTAGCAAGGTAATTTTCATGATAACACCCCTGTCATTCTCTTCCCCAAAAAGATGACCTGGCCTAAAAATAATACTTTCTTTTCTGATACTCCTCTGCCACACCTTTCTGCCTATAAAAACTTTCTATTTTGAATAAGCCCTAGGATTGCCCTCTGGTTGCTAGGTGGGATACTGCCTAATTCACCAATCGTTTAATAAAGCCAGTTAGATCTTCAAATTTCCTCAGTCAAATTTTGTTCTTTAACACACTTTATTATTTAAAAAAATAAAAAAATAAAAAAAATAAAGCCAGGTGAAGAGATACATAGGGTGAGGTCCAGAATAGTCTAGAGCAGGGGTCCCCAACCCCCAGGCAGTGGACCATACTGGTCATGGCCTGTTAGGAACAGGGCGGCACAGCAGGAGGTGAGCGGCTAGCTAGCAAACGAAGCTTCATCTGTGTTTGCAGCCACTCCTAGCCCCACCATCACCTCCTCAGCTCCACCTCAGATCATCAGGCATTAGATGCTCATAGGAGCAAAGGTTTCTGGTGCCAAAAAGTTTGGGGACCGCTGGTCTAGAGGACAGGAGCCTCTGTCCATGTAGAATTGGGGTGTGCCATTCTCCCTGCATGTGGATGTGTTTGCCAACCACAAACCCCATTGTTTAAGGGTTATTTTGGAGGTTTTCTTATGTAGCCATGATTGCAGCCATTGGTGACTAACTCAACTTCCAGCCTCTCTCCCTCGCTGGAGGTCGGGAGGTGGGGCTGAAAGTTCTAAACCTCTAATCATGGCTAGCTTCTCTAGCCACATCATTAGCACACCAAAGACACCTTATTACTCAGGAGATTCCAAGGATTTTAGGAGCAGTGTGTCAGAAACGGGGAACGCGGATCAAATATTTTTTATTCTACCACAGAGGAAAGTGTCCTGCTATCAGAATATAGGCCAGAGCCTCACTGGTGGCCAGGAAGACTTACAGCTGTATCTTCCACATGGGGCAGAGCCTCAGAAATCCCTCTAGTCACGAGTCCAGACCAGCTCCACAGAAACGGACAGAGGTGAGCCTATAAATGTGAGACCCAGAGGACATGGGAAAGAAAGATGCAGGTGCTTGACCCGTGATGAGAGACCAAAAAGAGGCACCTGGAAAAGCCCTCTACTGCTCATATGGCTTCTCAGCTCCGGCAAAGTCTTGATGGTCGCCTTGGCTTCTCTGCTTTGCCCAGATACTTTTTAAAAGTCAACTTAAAAAAAAAAAGTCTAACTCATAGAAACAGAGAGTAGAATGATGGTTGCCGGGGCTGGGGCATTGGGGGGAATATAGAGAAGTTGGTAAAAGGGTACAAATTTTCAGCTACAAGATGAATTAAGTCTTACGATCTAATGTATAACATGGTGAATATAGTTGATAACACTGTATTATATAATTGAAATTTGCTAAGAAAGTAGAACTTAAATGTGCCCACAAAAAAAAAAAAAAAGATACATATGTGAGATAATGGATGTGTTAATTAAGTGGGGAAAATCCTTTGGCAATATATATGTATATCAAATCATCACTTTGTACACTTTAAATATCTTATAATTTTGTTGTTCAATCATACCTCAGTAAAGCTGAAAAATCAACAATAATTATTGACCTCCTTTAATTATGTGCTAGAATTACGGAGAATTAACTCCTAGAAGTAGTTCTTGATTTCAAAGTTTTTTATCCTAGTCAAAGACATAAAACAAAGTTAACATAATTCTACTAGGAATTTTAGAGTTTATACTAGTTTCCTATTGCTGCTGTAATAAATGACCACAAACTTCATAGCTTAAAACAATGTAAATTTATCATCTTACAGTTCTGGAGATCAGAAGTCTGAAACAGTTCTTACAAGCTAAAATCAAGGTGTCAGCACAGCTGCCTTTCTACTGGAGGCTCCAAGGGAGAATTCATTTCCTTGTCTAGTCCAGCTCCAAGAGGCCACCTGCATCCTTGGCTCAAAGCCCCATTTTCAGTCTTCAAAGGATATGAACCTCTGCTTCCGTCCTCACATCTCCTACTTCTGATTCTGACCCTCCTGCCTCCCTCCTGTAAGGCCCTTGTGATTACATTGGGCCCACCTATAATCTAGGGTAATCTTCACCTCTCGGGATTCCTAACTTAGTCACATGTTCAAAGTCCCTTTTGTAGTGTATAGTACATATTCCAGGTTGTAGGGATTAGGACATGAACATCTTTTGGGGGGCTTTATTTTGCCAACCACGGAGCTCTTGTAGCATAGCCACCCTCCTTTTTTAGATGAGGACATTTAAGCACAAGGAGGTAAATGACTTGCCCAGGGTCACGAGTTTAGATTAAAACCCAAGATGTCTGATTCCCATTGTACTGCCTAGGCAAGTGTTCTTTCTGCTACCTTAAGTTGCCACAGAAATGAACAATACAAATCATTGTAAGAGTAAGTGCAACTTACATTATAGGTTTATAAATACACAGAATTACAGGATCAGAGAGTTATTGCTCAGAGGATCTTAGAGGTCTTCACGTCTAACCAGTCTGATCCTGGCTCCATCATATATTTCATATCTCCAGTTAGAAAGAACCCCTCACCTGCCGAAGCAACCCACAGCCCATTTCTGAGAGTGCTAATAGCAAAGTGTTCTTTGAATAACTAGATTACCCAGCTTCAGAGTTTGGACTATCCATACTGTGTGTACTCCAGCCTCCCTGAAGCACATGACCCACATGACACTGGAAACTCCACAAGCCCAGAAAGACCAGAAATCCAGTCCCCTTCACCAGGAACTCCATCCTCTGATCCAGGTAACAGCACCACTGGGACTTACTCCCACCTCGAAGGCTTATCCTTGGGTTCCATCTCCCTGCTGGAACCAGAACCCAGAGAGCACCTGTGGCAAATACGTCAGACATGTGCCCACACACATGCTCTCCTTCCTTATTAGTAGGATTTAACAGACACAGGACTGGACTGCATTTCTCAGTCTCCCTTGCAGTTAGGTGGATATAAGACTAGTTTTCTCCAATGGAATATGAATAGAAATAATGCGTACCACTTCGGTGCCAGGTTTTATAAAGTAAATGCTTCTCTTTTCTCCTTCTTCTACCTGAATATAAATGTTCCCAAGGGTCTAGATGCAACACACTTTGATTTCTGAATCACTGCATGAAAGAGAAACACCCACTGACTAGGTGTGGTCACTTTAGACTGCTGTGTGAGCAAGAAATAAACTTCTATAGCATTTGAGCTTTATGTAGTTTAGAGTCTAATTTGTTACAGCAGCTTAGCTTATCATAACGAAGATAGTATGTCTTAAGGCAGGAGTATCAATTACCTGTCAGGGCCACTGGTCATAACCACATTCTGATTATTCCTGCCAGCAAGGAAACTATTTTCTAGTTATAAAAGCCTTGGGAGGTGGAATGGGAGACACCAAGTGGCCCCATAATCTCCATCCATATCCCTTGCTTTGATAGAGACTATAGACATTTTCTTAATATCACATAAGGCTCTGCACTATCTCACACACAATCCACCTTCCAACAAGATGGCTGCCCCAAGCCCCTTCCAAGTGGAAATTCTGAACCCAGCACTGGTCCAAACTGACTCTCAGGAAGTCTGGAGGAATTCTACTCATCATCACTGCCACCTGCATTGTGTCATCAGTTCTGGTCACTTCTGAGCCATGTGTTGGTCATTGCCTCCACACTGGCATAGATCTCAGCTCAGTCTTCAGAGCGTCTGTAGGCCAGGAGTGCCAAGGTGCATCCCACCAAAGTGATGCTGCAGCTCTTCGCCACCCATCTAGGTATGAGCCTGACAGCGGAATGACCAGTACAGGACGGGTCCAACCAGCACCACTCATGAGCTCAGAAGCACTGCTCCCTTTTGACCACCTGATACTGTATCTCTTTAATCATCATAGTGAGTTTATTTTAGCCAACTTACTGATGACCTGTCCTGCCATTGGGTCTGTCGCATGGCCACATATTCCACCCTGACAGCTTTCAATCACTTTGAAAAGTTTCCCATGTCAAATTTCTCTTGAAAAAAAAAAAAAAATTCCACCTCACTGGACATCCCGCTATGCTCTGCCTTTTGGAAACTTAACCCACTGAGTCCTAGTTTCACATAGGACTAGATTCTGGAGATATCCAGAACAAGAATTTCTCTACATGGTAGTCCTCATAAAAACTAAGAATAATTTTCAAGACCCCAGACAAAGTCTTACTGTCGTTGGGCCAAACATTCCTAATTCTTTTAACTAGTCCTTGAGAAATTAAATAATAAGAAAAAAATATAAGAGGGACCAGTTTGTGATTCCTTGAGCTCCAAGCAAATGCTGGTCAATGTTGTGGCTGCTGAGTGTACTCTTGGTTCCCCTCACTGCCCTTGTCTCACCTCTGAACATGCCCACATGAAGAGCGAATACCAAGGGGTAGAGTAGGGAGCAAAGGGTCTCCTGGAGGAAGAGAGATCTGAGCTGGATTTTGAGGATGTGTGTCACTTGGTTGTGTGTGAAGAAGAGAATATGAGTAAAGAAAGAACTAGAGAAGGTTCTGGTAGATGGTGAAGAAGGTTCTGCACCCAAATCCACCAATGGTGCAGAGGGGGTTCTCCACAAGCCAACAAGCAAGGCTGTAACACCAACTGAGTATCCTACAATTCAACTCAATTCTGACACTACCTTGAGTTGACATCAGATTCTACAGGTTAAGGGGTCAGTCCTAACAAGACTGCCCCCTCCCCAAACCTCAGACACCAATCTCAAGTCCAGGTCAGTCACCTGTGCTTCTGACCAACAGTTATAGATGGGAATTTCCCACACCTCCCTCTTCTGGTTTGATTAATTTGCTAGAGTGGCTCACAGAACTCAGAGAAACATTTTACTTACTAGATCATAGGTTTATTATAAAAGGACATAATTCAAGAACAGCTAGATGAAAGAGATGCATAGGACAACCCCTACTGTTCTTATTTTTTTCAAGCATTGAATTTTATCCAATGTTTTTACATTCCTTTAAAAAAACAAAAAGGAATTACCTTTAAAGAAATGCCTTTTCAGAGGAGTATACATTTAGAAGTTTAAAATAATTGTAGATACATATATTCCAGCTTTCACATCACTTCTGTGTGTGCGTGTGTTGTGTGTGTATGTGTGTGGTGTGTGTGTGTGTGTGTTGGGGATTCCCACTGAGCAGTTTTGTGTGGGGAGTCAAGAAACAGAAAGCCATTCCCTGCTGGAGGTGGTGGCAGACAAGTCAGAAAATTGTGAGAACTTGGCCTTTAGCCTCCAAGTGGCAAAAAAAAAAGGAAGAAAGGAAGAAAGGAAGAAAGGAAGAAAGGAAGAAAAGGAAGGGGGAAGCAAGGAAGAAAGAAAGAAAGAAAGAAAGAAAGAAAGAAAGAAAGAAAGAATGAAAGAAAGAAAGAAAGAAAGAAAGAAAGAAAGAAAGAAAGAAAGAAAGAAAGAAAGAGAAAGAAAGAAAGAAAGAAAGAAAGAAAGAAAGAAAGA